GCAGCGGCTCGGGATCTGGCGTCCGGCACATAATCCAGAAAGAAAAGGGGATTCAGGACCTCAATGGGGAACGCAAAAAAAAACGAATATAGGCTCATCCCGGAACGAGGGCTGCGAGTATTACGGCAGTATGCATTCTCGATACATACCTATGGCCGTCCGCCGGAGAGGCTCCCGGGGCGGCGAGCGTCGGCGCCATTGATTCGCCTCCCTGCGCCCAATCCATTAGAGGGTCGAGTTGAAGAACAGAGCAGGGGCGCCGTTGGGGGAGATAAGTGATTCGCCTTCACGGGTCCGCGTCTGTATGCGGTGGGGAGGTAAAAGACAATAACGTGCAGGGCCTAGCCCGTGATGCCGTTACCCTACGACGAGTGGACGGTGACAGACACCTGCCACGGTAATACGTAGACTAAACCTGTATCCCCGTCGTGCATCTCGAGGTAGACCGCAACGATTCGACCGCCAGGATAGCGCGGCCCCGGCGCATATGCTCGAAAAATCCGCGTCCCTAGCAGTCGTCGTCCAGGTCCTCCTCTGGTGGCTTCATCGCAGCGGGCCCGTGAGCCTGGGAAGGGCTCCTCCTCCTGCTCATGTGTCGCCGGTGCCTGCTGGGCCTGGGTGTGGCGGAGGAGGAGAGCAAACCTAAAAAAATAGGAAGAGCTCAGGGCACCATGGGGAGATGGGGAAATTAGAAAGAAAAAGCTCACCTGTATCAGCATCCCCTCCATGAACTGGGAGTTGTACTCGATCTCTCCTCGCTGTGGTGGGTGCTCGACCACCCGTCATCCCGTGGCCCGCCTAGCCCGTGTACCCGTCTCCACCGTGCTGAAGAGATTGAAGGAAGAAGAGGAGCAGTGAGGAAGAGAGGAAAAGAGAGAAGGAGAACTCATCGGAAGCCGAGGGTATTTGGAGAGGAAGCGCAGAGGAGGGCGCGGTCGCTGCCTCACCCTGCACTGCGTGCTCCTCCCGCTGCTTTCGTCATCCGCGCACTCCAGCACACCACAGAAGCCCGCCGCTGTACTCCGGCACACCGACAGATGCCCGCCGCTGCTCATCCCGATGACCCTACCGTGCTAGCGTGGAGAAGGGGATGAGAAGCGGCGACGGGCGACGGCACAGGAGAGAGAAGAAGAGGAGAGGCGGCAGCGGCAGAAGGGGAGGAAGAGGAGGCAGGTCGAGGAGAAGGAGCGAGGGTCGTGTGCGGGCAAGGTTTTACACCGTACGACCGCTGCAGTCCACCCTTTTTGGACCCGAACTTACGCACGCAACACACACTGCAACGCCGGCCCCGCCCATATGCCTGGCCCAGCCGTCATCTGCTCAAAACTGAAATCATGGCGTGAGTTTAAACCAATGGCTGGATGTTTGACTGAGAGGTAAAACGTACAGAAAACTTTACAGCGCGGCGGAACGAGAGACCCAGATCGCATGCGCGACGCGAAGGCTCCAGGATAGCGGGTAGTTTAGCAAGATTTATATGTTCAATTCTCATCATTTCCCGAGCTCTAGGTGACCATTTGCCGAGTGTGGCACTCGGCAACATGGCTACATGGCACTTCGGCAAATTTCCGTAAAGTAAAATAAACTAACATAGCTACTTGCCGAATGTCATCGCTCTTGGCAAGACAAACCATGTGGCAACGCCTGGGATCATTACAAGACCTTTGCCGAGTGCCTTGGGAAAAAAATCGGTAAATTGTTCCTGTGTTTTTATATTTTTTTTTATAAAAAGAATATGCGGAGTCATTGCGGGACACTCGGCAAAATAGACCCCGCTGTCACAGAGCCATCAACCGCGGGCGGCAGGTGCATGTGGCGTCTTGTTTTTCAAGGCCCGCGCGTGAACTCTCTGTAAAAGGTCTATAAGCCGAGTGTTCTTGTTTGCCAAGTTTTTTGAGAGCTTTCTCGGTAAAGGGTGACAATTGCCGAGTCTCTGTTTTTTCCGAGAGTTGCACTCAGCAAAGAATTGATTTGTTACGGATTTCCCAGCAGTGATTTAATGGAGTATCCTTTTTTGAAATATAAACTCGTAGCATCGCATTATTTAAAAAAAACAGTCGTACAGTTAGCCATCACCTGCATGTTAGCGTCATCGCTCCTGTCATCAGAGTCAAACAACGTTTTGCAGACATGAGAGACGATGAAGCGATCAACGGAATAAATTTGGCTTGAGCACCACGGCGGCATACTCCACTATCAAACAACAATGATGAGCTTAACTAACTAATCCTAACTAACTAACGGGACATCTTAATAATTAGTTAATCCAGACTTCTCCGATCCACTTTCCAAGGCATCTATCACAACGTCAGCATTTTGAGCATTTCTTCAGATCGGAATGTTCCCAGGAAACCACGCAGCCGTCGGGCTCAAGCAGAGGCATTCGTTCATTGACCAGGCTTACGTACGTCTGACAAAGAATCATTTTTCGTTATAGTCGCCAACTTATAAACCTTGATCAGGAGTTAGACGTGCAGAGGTATAGCTAGCTAGCAAACAAGCAACAAAGAACAAGAAGCAATTGAGGACTCGATCGTGTAGAGATCGTTCGATAAACTTGGATTGACAAGATTTGATGGCGCGCGGGAAGGTGGCCGAGTGGATTCGGAAGCGTACTATGCCGAGGAAGCCGGCGGCTAAGCGCCAGAGCAGTAAGAGCGGGGCGTTCGAACCCATACTGAGGGAGGCGGCGCCCGAGACCTGGAGCAGTGCCGTCGGCGGGGCGCAGGTGCCATCACCTAGGAATGGTGTCGCTGCGCTACTGGCGCATTCGAAGTCCCGGGCGAGCGCCTCCCTGTCGGCGCTTATGAGGTTGCGGCCGCGCGTGAACGTGGTGGCCGTGCTGTGCGAGAAGGTGGTGTACCCCCTGATGTGGCTGGTGGAGTCCGTGGTGGTGGTGGGCAGGCTCTGCTTCTTCCTCATGCGCTTCGGCTTCAAGCAGCTCGAAAGCTCATTCCTCCAGTTGCCGCCATGGCTTTTTAGGTGGAAGAGAAGAAGTGTGCGTTGCATGGATTTTATTTCTTTGTTTTTTCTTATGTGCAGATTCGTTTGCCATTTTACCGAGGCTTTTGATTCGTGACAAGTTGTAAATGCCCTCGGCCCCCGTCTTGTGTACAAAGCCTTCATTTGTTCCAGCAAAATGGAAACGTCTCACGATCATAAGATGTTCGGATATTTCTACTTTCAGCCTATGAAACATGGGATACCCTCGCTCAGCTCCAAAGATCGACTATACCTTCGGTTGTTCTGTGAGGCCCTCGCTCAGACACACTTCCTGCTCACCCCTTAGACAAGCTTGGTCCATAGGGAGCAAAATTGTTGGATTTGAAGGACTGAAAGGCCATGCCAAAGCTTGCAATTTGCACATATATTTATACATTATATTCAGTGCTTGTTCAGTGCCTAGTACGTACCATAGCTATAGTTTAAAGTTCTGATGCTGTCAAGATAATGTCAAGCAACAAGCAGGATCAGATTCAATAAAACCTCGATAAGCCCTTTTTTTCTTGCTGGGAATGATGCATTTGGCTCAGCAATACAGATGAATTTGTATCTAACTTTTTTAGGCCGTCAATGGACAGAAATCGGTAAAAGAAGAAGGATACAGTGTACATTTTACAAGCGTGATGGTAGTGTGTTTCATGATATAACTATAACGGCAAATGATATCTCTTGATTTTCTGAAAGCATGCACCAGAAATGCTCGGCGGGCGCACCTTGCTGAAACCAAAAATGGCTGTTGTATTTCGATTTTTAAATCAAAAGTGTATGCGGAAGAGCAGAGTGTAGACCTTTTTTTTTTGAGGATCGAGCAGAGTGTAGACCTTATGGTGTGTGAAGCCGTCGTATGACATCTCCATATTTTATTTATTTATTGAGAAACTGACATCTCCATGTGTTGGAAATCATGGAGGGAAAATCAGTTCACTAATTTTTCATGTTGTTGACGTACAGCAGTCCCAGTTGAACGTATTCATGACTTGCACCCCCATAGCTGGGAGCCAGATCCTCTGACGTACGGCCCGCTGCCGTTGCGCCATTGACGCGTGGGCCCGGGGCCACATGTCAGTGGGCATCACGACACGTCAGAGGAGCTGCGTTCCCATAGTTGGCCCAAGCATCCTTGAGCACCATCGCTGCCAGGTTTTGATCTTAAGACATGTGGTGTGGGTTATGATCCCACCACCCTAGCTTCCGCTTCGCCACTGTGATCCTTTTGTCATGGGCCTGAGCAAACTGTTTCGACAGTGATTTGTGGTTGGCTAGCTTGTGCCGGTGAGGAGGCCAACAAGTTGAGCTAACTCTCCTAACGAATAACGATGGATGATAGTGATGGGAGGTCTCCTCTGTGCATGTTCGCACGGAAGGAGAAGGAAACCTGTACTGTACCAATGTGGTTGCACATGCACATCAGGTCATCAGCTACGTATACTACGTGAGGACCGTCCACTCGAAACCTTGTGTGTTTCCTTCCCGATGAAATGGAGGGGAGGGTTTTGCCTGGTCTCATTAGATCGGGAAAGGGGTTAAAACAAGGGTTTTAATGCATGCCGGTTATTATGAAAACCTGGCTAGCCGCCGCCGCGGCACTAGCTTAGGGTCGCGGCGCGTCGGGTCGAGTGGTAGCATGTACTCCCTCCGTTCCTAAATAATTGTCTTTTTAGCCATCTCAAATGAACTACAACATACGGATGTATGTAGACATGTTTTAGAGTGTACATTCACTCATTTTGCTTCGCATATAGTCACTTGTTGAAATATCTAGAAAGACAATTATTTAGGAACGGAGGGAGTATGTGTTTGCGTCTATGCTAGGCTGCATCCTGCGTGGGCGCTTGGCTCGATCGAACTTGTCGTGCATTTTTTTGGGCAATCGAACTTTGAATACCTTTAGGACCGCTGGTGTATTTTACTCTTTTTTTAATCATTATTTTTTTTTTTGAATTGTGCCTTGACATAATTCTTGCACAAAGCTTTTTCTGGTTGCCGACCGTCAACGCATGCATCTATGCATGGTCCACGTACGATTCCCCTTCACGCGTCCGTTGTTGTTGGACGGCCAAACCGCAGCACTTTGCGCATGCATGCATGCCAATCGGTAGGAGTAGGAGCCAAGATGAGATCGAATCCAGCTCCGACCCGACGGGCATTAATCGGCCGGCCGGTGAACGAGTCGTAGCCGTCGTCCGACTCCGACTGGGGGTGGGAGGTGGTTGGCGCGTATAAACAGAGGAAGTGCTTTCCACCTTGCCGCGCCAGTGGCTCACCCAAAACACGAGTCTCCTTGTCATCTACCCTTCGCCCGGCGTCGCCATCGCCCACGCCCGCCGCGGCGCCGCTGGGCCGCTCAGCCAACCCCAGCAACCCGGCGTACAAATCCAGCGCGCATACCACCGTCATCCGTCGGTCCATCGATCGATCTCCCTCCTTTCCTCCGTCCATGGCGCCGCGCGCGACGGCGGCGATAAGCAGGTTCCCGCCGGTGTCGTCCTACGACGCGGCGGCGCGGGAGCGCCGCACCGCGGCCTCCGACCTGGACGGCACCCTGCTCGCCTCCTCCTCGGCGTTCCCCTACTACTTCCTCGTGGCGCTCGAGGCCGGCGGGTACCTCCGCGCCCTCGCGCTCCTCCTCCTCGCCCCGTTCATCCTGCTCCTCTACACCGCCTTCTCCGAGCCGGCCGCCATCGGGGTCCTCGTCTTCGCCACCTTCGCGGGGCTCCGGGCGCGGGACGTGGAGGCCGTGGCGAGGGGCGTCCTCCCGCGGCACTACGCCGCCGGGGTGCGCGCCGACTCGTGGGAGGTGTTCCGGGGCTGCGGCGCGGGCAGGCGGGTCGTGGTCACCGCGTCGCCGGCGGTCATGGTCGCCCCGTTCGTCCGCGAGTTCCTCGGGGCCAAGGTGGCCGGCACCGAGCTCGGGACCTGCTGCGGGCGCTTCACGGGGCTCATCAGCGGCGGGGTGCTCGTCGCGGGGAAGAAGAGGGAGGTCGTGGAGCGGCTGTTTGCCGGCGGGGACATGCCGGACGTCGGGCTCGGTGACCGCGAGAGCGACCACGACTTCATGGCCGTCTGCAAGGTACTACTTACTAAATTCAACCTCCACACCCGGTAGAACTCGATTGTCTTGACAAAAGTTTCTTGAATTCGACAGAGTCTTGGTTCAATAGGAATTTCTCTAATTCATAGTGATTGCTAAGTGATTGATATTTGAGTGGCCGGAGATCAGACCACGCCTAAATTTTCAAGTAAATGAATTGTTGTTTGTCTGCGCAAGGCATCAATCTCATCTAAGCCTTTTCTTGTGGTAGTTGGAGTTGCAAGAAATTGTGTGGTTCCCAGCTTTGCCTTTTCAGAGAACCTTTGATGTTTTTTTTTTCCTTTTCAGACAATTCTGTCCCTTTATATTTAGCTAGGAAAGAACAAGCAAGTCCCTTCAAAGTTGAAAGTTCTGTCCCTTTCCACCTGATGTTTAGCCTTCGAAAGTTGTCATATTCATTACTACTTAAATCTGCAAAATGCTGAGTAGTCATAATTTTCTTTTATTTTTGTACTTTTGCTTCTTTTTTTTTGGCTAAGATTTTTGCTGACCTGAGTCTTCACTGGCTACATTATGAAGCTACTTGGTGCCAACCAAATCACATCTGTCTCAGTCCTGTTACCTGTCGCTTTGGACAGGGACAGATTACTTTACTGTTGAATAGTTATTAGTTACTCCACTAATAATACCCAAATAAAAACTATGTTTGGTTCAGATTAACTACAAGTACCGCTGATTAATCTGATTTATTTCCCGCGCATGTGCATATGCAGGAAGCCTACATGGTGCCCACGAACAAGCGCGCACCGCGTGCCGCCGCCGACGCTCTGCTGTCCAGCGTCGTGTTCCATGACGGCCGCCTAGTCCGCCGGCCGGACCCAGCGCACGCGCTCTTCGCGCTGGCCTACCTCCCGGTTGGCTTCGCCCTGGCCGTGCTCCGGGTCCTCATCAGCCTCCCGGTCCCGCCGCACCTCGTGCGCCACACGTACCGCCTGACCAGCATCCGGCTCGCCGTGCGGGGCATGCCCCCGCCGGCGCCGCGCGAGGGCTCCCCCGGGTCCCTCCTTGTGTGCAACCACCGCACGGCGCTGGACCCCATCATCGTGGCCGTGGCGCTGGGGCGGCCGGTGACGTGCGTGACCTACAGCGTGAGCCGGCTGTCCACGGCCATCTCGCCGATCCCGGCGGTGGTGCTGGCGCGGGACCGGGAGGCCGACGCGGCGCGCATCGCGGCGCTGCTGAGCTCCGGGCGCGACGTGGTGGTGTGCCCCGAGGGAACGACGTGCCGGGAGCCGTGCCTGCTGCGGTTCTCGGCGCTGTTCGCGGAGCTGACGGACCGGATCGTGCCGGTAGCGCTGGAGGCGGCGCAGTCGACCTACTACGGGTCCACGGCGAGGGGGTGGAAGGCCATGGACCCGTGGTTCTTCTACATGAACCCGAGGCCGGGGTACAAGGTGACGTTCCTGCCGGCGCTCCGGCCGGAGGAGACGTGTGGTGCTGGCGGTAGGAGCGCCGTCGACGTGGCCAACCATGTGCAGGCGGTGATCGCCAAGGAGCTCGGGTACCGGTGCACGACCCTCACCACGAAGGACAAGTACATGAAGCTCGCCGGCAACGACGGCACGGTCGCCGCCGACGGCGACGACAGCAAGAAGCTTGCGTAAACCGCGGAACTGTATAGGTAGTCACGATTCATGGACCAGCATAGTGTTGTATGTAGTGGAACAGACTAGAACTGGAGCAATCACACACTGTATTCATTCACAGGAGAGTACATATATATAGAGAGTGGCGTTTTGGCTCCTAGGTGCATATGCACCCATTGTCGAAATCCAAATTCCTAGAAGTTGAAAAATTCGAAACAAAAATCCCGCGTGTATATCCGGACATTTTATGTGCGTTCACAAGGTTTCGGTGAAAAACGATGTTTTTTGTGGCTTGTGTAAAAAAGACAATTTCTGATGCTTCATTCTAACTATTCACGAGGCATTTCTTTATCTTTTTTACACAAGCCACAAAAAACGTCGTTTTTCACTGAAACCTTGTGAACGCACATAAAATGTCCGGATATACACGCGGGATTTTTGTTTCGAATTTTTTAACTTCTCAGAATTTGGATTTCGACAATGG